CTTTCAAGACTCACACAACTAAATTATGGATACATTTTTATAAGCTGTGTTCATCTTTTAAAGTCTCAAGCAAAACTGTCCTTAGCCCCATGGAAGAGAATGAAATGTTAACTCACTCCTGAAGCCTTACTTAGGGTTTACTCGGCTTTGAGATCTAAACAGGTTGTTAAAACTATGCATATTTAGCTCCCACCAAGTTCTGTTTTCTTCTTTTTTTTAAATATTATCCCTGGTTTTCAAAACAATCTTACAAGTAATAATCATAATCACAATTATAATAGTAATAATGAAATACAGAACTCAATATACAGGTAGAGATATTTAAATATGTAAAATGGAATATTTTCTAAGGGTAGCCATGTGGTAAGTGAAAAAGTTGGGTGTTGAATTCAGGTCTTTTAAAATCTTAAACCTTGCCTTTTACACTCTTATCTCCAACTGTGTGCAGTTGATAGAGTGACTCTTCCAGACTTCTGAAGCTTACTTTAGGTAACACGGCATGAGCTCTGTACCCTGAGATTGAAGATGGGCACTGGAATGAATGTCAAGGCTTTTGTCCTAAGCAGTTTTTCCTCTTCCTCTTTCTTAAAAAAAAGTTTATATTTGATGTATTTTGCTGGCATGCATGTCTATGTATCATGTGCGTGCCTAGTGCCCACAGAGTCCAGAAGAGGGCATTGAATCACCTGGAACTGGAGTTACAGGTGGTTGTGAGCTGCCCTGTCGGTTCTGGCAACCAAATAGCAAGTAAGTGTCTTGGAAGAAATGCCAATGCTCTTAACCAAGGAGCTACATCTCCAGGGCCCTCTCCTCCTCTTTCTTAAAACTCTGTGTGTATGTGTTATGTGTGTGTGTGTGTGTGTGTGTGTGTGTGTGTGTGTGTGTGTGTGTGTATGTGTGTATGTGTATGTGTGTATGTTGTGTGTCTGTCTCTTTCTGTGTGTATATTTTTGTATGTCTGCCTGTCTCTTTCTGTGTGTAAGTGTATGTGTGTATGTAAGTGTTGTGTATCTATCTGTCTCTCTGTGTTATGTGTTTCTCTGTGTATATGTATGTATGTGTGTCTGTCTGTCTGTCTCTGTGTGTGTGTGTGTGTGTGTGTGTGTCTATGTATGTGTGTCTGTCTCTTTCTCTCTGTGTGTTTGTATGTGTGTCTATCTCTCTCTTTCTGTGTGTGTATTTGTCTGTCTGTTTCTTTTTCTCTCTGTGTGTGTCTGTCTCTTTCTATGTGTATGTGTTTTTATGTGTGTCTGTATGTTTCTTTCTGTATGTGTATTTCTCTCTCTCTCTCTCTCTCTCTCTCTCTCTCTCTCTCTCTCTCTCTCTCTGTATATATAGTTGTGCATCCATGAGGAACTTCCCAGGATTTTCCTTTCTCCATCTCTTATCTCACTGTGAGTGCTGGGATTATAGACATGGGCTACTGTGTCTAGCTTTGCATAGATTGTGGAGATTTGAATTCTGGGCCTCATGTTTATGTGGCAAGCATTTTAACCAATGGGGCATCCCCCAGCACTGCCCTAAACTCTCCTATTTCTAATTGAGAGAACAAATCTGGGACTCTGACAGGTAAGCACACCCGTGAAATAACAAAGTTGAAGTTAGTTTTTTTATACTTTAATTAACTTTTAAGCTTTAACATTAGGGATGACATAAAATAAAATGAAATTACTAATTTTTCCACTACTAAAATGAATTATGAAATACACTTTTAAAGATACATTTTCAAGGACTCATGTTCATCATCCACTATGGTTAAGTATGTAATTGTAAGCACTTTCAATTTTAATTGAAATTATTTCCAATTCAATTATTGGGTCTATTTTCAAGTTTAATGCACAATAGAATATATAGGAACAAAAATACGTTTTAAAACCTACAGAATAAAATCCACACTGAGCTTTGAAAGTAGTTTTAGGCCCACTATCTAGAATAAGTCAAAGAGTGGGCAGAAAATAGACAGTACAGACAGATACTTTAGCAAACAAAGTGGAATAAATTTACCAAGCCAATCACAGCCTGAAAAATGCAGATAAAGATGCAGAGAGAAAACATGCAACGTTGATCATGAACACATTTCAATGCAAGAAACCAGAAAGCGCTTTTGTCCTTGGTGTGAATAAACATTCAGACCATGCTGCAGCTGCAAAATTGAAACTCAAGGAAGACACATTTACAAAGGAATTTATTAAATTGATGTGATTTCCCGGTTTCACACATCCAGTGGCTCTTTCATAAAGTAAAATGTACAATTTGTCATGATAAAAATGACATTTCTCTCATTGTATTCAACCAGATAGCAAAAAATCTTTTGTGAAGAGCCGTGCTTATTAAAGAGCTGGGGATACCCAGCAGCTTAGGCTCTGAATAGACAGAGCTCATCCTCTATTAACATGCCCTCTGTGTCGAGTATCCTTTATAAAGAAGATTCCAAGCAAAGGAAATCTGTCTTTCTCTGTATAATATGCCACAGAGATTTCTTTGTAAGAAGTCACTTGTTGCTGAATCCATCCATCCACCCATCCATCCATCCATCCATCCATCCATCCATCCATCCATCCATCCATCCAGTATTTTTGAATCTCCAAAGTCTTTATAATATGCAGTAGGGGATAGAAAATATATCTGTGAACTTACTATTCAAAATTTTATGATATTAAGATCTTCTTTCAGGGTTGGGGCAACAGCTCAGAGGTTAAGGGAGCTTACCCCTCTTGCAGAAGACCTGGGTTTGGTTCCTATCACCCACATCGCTGCTTACAACTATCTATAACTCCAGTTCCAGGGGATATGACACCCTCTTCTGGCCTCCATAGGCACTGCACTGATAAGGTGCAAAAAACCGTATCATCAGCAGGCACACATTCATACACATAAAATAAATATAAATCAATCGTTTAGAAAAGTAATCTCATGTATTTTCATTTTTGAGTCAATTTCTCACTACATAGCACTGGCTGCTGGCTTGGAACACTCTATGTAGACCAGCTTGGCTTTGAACTAGGAGACCCACCTGCCACTGTACCTCGAGTATTGAGATTAAAGGCATGTACCACCATTCCCAGTTATTAAATGCCATTCCATCCCATGACTCAGATCCTGTCTGAAGCTAATACAACTCTCCACAGTGTGAGCTGGCAAGGAAGTCCATTCTCTGTCTAGCTCCAACTGTAGCATGATCATTATAGTGCCATCCTGGATCATTCTATTTTTAGAGCTGTTCCAAGTCAGGTCTTAGGACAAACAGGTTAGCCTCCTCTCAAAGCTTGTTAAAAATGCGCATCTGTGACCTCATCCACACTGATCTATGCTTAACAACCACAGATCTACAGAAGCCAATGGAGGCTTTACAAACCACAGATACTACTTTCTAGGTAAGACCACGAGGGAGTGACGTCAACAAGGAAAAATAAGTTGGTAAACTGAGTGGCAGGTTTTACATTTCTGACTTAGCGGTTTGGATGACAATGACGTGGTGAATCTGAGCTAAAACCCAATGTAATCAGAACTTTCATTTCGGAAGACTCAGGAAACTATAGAGCAGAAACCCAGTGAGAGGTGATTGTAAGCTCAGTAAGGAGGCAGAATTTGCCAAATCTCAGAGTCTCTGGAGGACATTCACTCTGTTTGCATCTTGTGCTTAAGATAAGATTCATTCTGAGCATGCCTCCCTACTGTAGATGTAACCAACTGTCTTTTTAAATAAGAAACACAGAACCAATGCAAAGAAGAAAGCCAAGAGGTCAGAGCTAAGAGCTAAAACCTTACCCTTCCTCCTGCAGTGGTCCTACCTCTCTGAACCAGAGCTACTTTCTGTGTTAAAGTCTTTATATATAGTTTCTGTTCTGCCTTCTCATTGGTTGTAAACCCAACCACATGACCGCCTCATCACAGCCACAGCTTTTGGGGAAGGACATTTCTGCTCCTCACTGGATTTTCTTTGCCTTTATAATGTCAGTCTCCATTGATAACTAGATGCTCTGCCTCCTGCCTCAGGTGCTAATAACGCAGCCTGGAACTATGGTGGAGCTCAAGCCCTGAGTGGAAGTCCCAGAGAGTGAGTGATCCTCCTACTGTACACATTTTCAGGCGAAACTCCCAGACAGCATCCAAACATCCATGGGAGGCCTGTGAAGAGTCAAGTTCCCATGACTCTCGGAGCAGATTTGTTAGCCTACCCATGTTCTTACCCACACTGAGTCACTCTCTATGCTTCTGTCTATTTCATTATTTCATTTTATTTTTTTGAGACAGCTCTTACTATGTCATTCGGTCTAGACTCAATCTTATTATCCTCCTGCCTTGGCAGAACATTATATCATGTACTAGTAAGAAGGCCCAGCCATTCCCAATCTTGATTCGTGGGATCATCTTCCCAGTGAACAGTCTTTTTCAAGTCCTGGTCTTTGTTGCACAAGTAACCCAAACAGGAAGGTAGCTCACTAGTATACTCAGCACTATTAACCCCTTCTGATCTGCTCTTACTCATGCAATGCCTTCAACTCAGACATTCTACGGTCTTTCTTTCCCTCCCAACAGAGCACAGGATGAAAGGAAGAGAATGGAGATGGGGCTCGGGCTTCAGCATTTCCACTGCCTTTCTTACCAGACTTAGATCACAGTGGACATGCCTGGGCTAATAAGTTTGCATTTGTACAGGATGAAAAGAAAGCAGAAAGTGGATGCCATGCCATCTATTTCTCCCATTCGACACTTAACCTCACATCCAGTATTTTAGCCCTGAGACCCCTGGAAACTGCATTTGCCTGCTCTGACTTTCTAGATTGACAACAATGATTACCACACATGTGAACATCTTGGTCAAAATCTGTACAGGAAACCAAGGAGTTAAACACAGACTTTAAATTCAGCAGTCTATCAATAGCTCTGGACTTGTAAGGTAGAAATATATTACGCTATTAAAAGAGACAAGTTTCTTCATACAGTGCATCTTAAGCAGACATTGTAGAAGGGGGTTATATAAGGGGATGAGGTTCTACCTTTGATGATCATTCTTCCATTTTTCCTGCTTCCAGCACAGGAGATCCAAGCTTCAGGTTGCTGCTGTTGTTGATATTGTTAACCAGATGTCACTCTTGCTATGTGATGTTCAACTGCTCTGAAAGATAACAAATGCAATAATTAGACATGATGACTCATTTGAAACCGAAACACACTGAGGACTGATCTCCTAAAAATGACACCAGCAGCCATTAAATCCAATGATGTGAGACGCAGAGCTGCATAGGAAATCTACGTGGTGGTTCTTGTGATGATATTTTTTAATGCATCTCAGAAAATCAAATCAACCAGAAAATAAAAAAAATATTCTGCCATCATTACAAACAGATTTGATATTCTACAAAATGCTTGTCCATAACTATCACTTATATTCTCTTTAAAAAGTAATAAAGAGAGGTGGGAAGAGATGACTCAGTGGTTAAAAGCACATTCTGCTCTTGTAGACGGCCTGACTTCAGTTCCTAGTACCTCCCACATCTGAAGACTGATAGCCATCTGTAATACTAGCTCCAGGGATCCGATACCTCTGGCCTCTGCAGGCACCTGCACTCATACACACAGAACTGCCCCTGCAACACATGCAACTGCAAATTATAAATATAAATCTTTAAAAAGTAATAAGGTACAAATATCAAAAACATGATTTTTATAAGGTACAGCATATGCATAAGATTGCAGTCATTTCCTGGCAACTACATGTTTTATTAATACCACAACTAACCAACTGTGGTGAAAAGGGAGTAGAAATTGTCATTATTCCCACTGTGGTCTCTTTGACTCCACAGCAGGGTCCAACATGGCATACTATTCCTAAGTGTGCAACCGTGGGCTTGGTGATGCCTAGGCCAAGTCATTTACAGGATTGCCAATGATGCTTTCTTAGACTATGACAAAACAAAAATTATATCTGGGCCACATCGTGGGAGGGAGGTTGCCTGAGATCATATTACATGCTGTGTAGAGCCGTGATTCTCCTTTGTAGCAGGTCACAGAAGGCAGGGCTCACCACACAAATGACCTGATGTTTCAAAAGAGCTAGGGGACACTGACAGCTGCTCCTATTATTGTTGGTTGTTTTTCAAAGCAAAATAATTCTGTGTGCCACAGTAGGCATGGTGGCATCAGCCTGTAATACAAGCACTGAGAGGGCTGAGGCAGGATAGAGAGCACATTTCAGGCTAGCCTGGGCTTCATCTGGAAACTCACTCAAAAGACCAAACAGGGGAAAAACAAAGCAAACCAAAACAAGCAAAACCTACCATCAAGCGAGTATGCAAGTAATAAACAATTGCAGCCTGGGCCAGGTTTAAAAAGTGATAGGCAGGGCTTTGTCACCTTGTCCCCTACAGGCAGAGACTGTAAATATTGGTGGACTGTGGAGAAAGAATGAAGAAGACAGACTGTAGGAGTCGGTAGAAGAAACTCCTGCGATCATATGTCTCCCACTTCTTCTCCATGTCTTTTTTTGCAATTTCCCTGCACTGAAATATCTGTGAGATATTTCTGCAACAAAGTCTATTACATTGTTTTAAAATTAATTTTCTGGATTACTCAGTGGATTTTTTTTTCTTTAACTCTGGTGTCAGAGTTTAAACTAATATACCTCATACCCATTCATTTCAAGGGAGTTACTCTATAAGCCGATCACTTCCAGTTTTTAAAAGAGGTTATTTAAAAATATTGCCTGAGGGTATGGAAGGGGAAATGCAATCTGTATATGCATTAGATTTTATGGAATGCCTATGCTTTAGTAAAATGTATTTCTGAAGAGCTCAAGGAGGCCCAGCCGAGGAGCTTCTTCAGTCTCACTGTTTCCTAAAAGCTATCACACTTGTCAGAGTAACGAGGTCTCTCGGGAATACCTGTTGATGGACCTCAGGCTAGTACAAATGCTCACCCCTTCAATCATTCATGCATTCACTCATCTACACCATTCCACACAGACGTATTATCATGCCCCAGACACTGTTCGAACATGGAAACACAAGGGACCTTTCATTTTAGTGGTTGAGTAAGCAGAAAAGAAATAACAAGTATGATGAAGTGGTAAACTGGCATGTCAGTGCCTAGTCGACTTGTCATGGAGGTGGTGGGGCACCTGACACTGGAATGAGGGAGACAGGTATGGGCTAGGTTTGTAATGCAATTAGCACAGGAAACTGGTAATACTCTTTTTACTCACTGAAGACGATTATATAGAGAGGCAAACAATGTATGCAAAGCATCATATTTTGTGTGCACAGGAGCTCATGAATATTAATTTATTTTAGGCATTTATTTAATTTTTTGAGTTATTTAATAATTGAGTTTATCTGTGAAAAACTTCTACAAGTCATAACAGAAAGCTCTATTTTACATTTTGTCAGTTCTTTTTAAAACATAAGGAAAATAATCTGCTGGTAAATTAGTAACAGGATTCAATAAATCATGAATACAATTGCCAGGGAGCTAAGCAAATTTTACTTTAGACAAGAGGTGAACAAAAATCTAAGGAAAAATAAAAGAAATTAGCCTAGGAATCTGAAAAGTTTCCCAACTTCTACTAAATCTTGCTCACTCCCATGTCTCTTTAAATGCATGTCATGTTTATTTGATAGTCTCTAATGTACATGGGCTTCATTTAACAATGATCAATTGACATTTATGATACCAAATGTGTAAACTATGGGACAGATGAACAATAAAACTATAGATCTAATAACAGTCCCAAGAACAATATGTGCCTAAGGTCACAGCCTCTAGCAGCCCTGAGAAGAATTCTCTAAAGGACTACAGTCATTTGCCATACAGAAGCACTGTCGTTTTGTGAGGTCCTAGTTGTCAATCACCGGCCTTCATTCCTGGGCAACTGGAATACCTTTTGATAAATCCTTTCCCGTACATGAGTCTTATAGATGTTGTCTACATTGTAGTCTAGTAGTTTCTGTAGTATAAGTACAGAATAAATACTAAACTAGAATCTGTCTATGTTCAAGTCTTCCTTTACAGGTGAAGTCTTTGGGACTACAGAGATGAAACCACATTTCTTAGGCCATAATTAATCAATGACAAATCTAGGACTAGTCCTTGGGTCTTTTTTTCTCCCCTCATAACTGTCCTGATCCTCAGATTTCTCTTGTTTGTTTTCAGTCAAGTGTATCTTTTATAGAATAACAGCATCATATCTTGGAAATCTTATATTTTATCTGAAAATTTCACTTGCGTTTTACAATAAAGTCCACAAAAAATTGGGTTTGCTTGAAGACATATTCAATTATCTATTTGCCGGGTGGTCCCCTCAGCCTGCCCCTTCTGGAACAACAAAAACTTCAGATAATGTCTGTGTTTTGTGAATTCTCATGTGTCTGAGGCAGTGTTAGATTAGGTAATAAAAAAGAAAGTCCATCCAGTTTTTTACCTTCTTTGCAAACCAAATTGCTAAGCGACTCTTCAACTGGGGATAAGAAACATCAAAGTGAGGCTGGCTTCCAGGATGTGTATCCGGTGGGTTTAAAAGGGCTCACACTTCATTTAAAGTAAACCAGTGCATTGGGCAAACATCAACAGGACTGGACTGTGCTAGGATACATGCTACACGTGTCTGTAGCTATCCCTTACTGCCTTGCTTCACATTCACTCTGCAGGCTGGGGCATCTGATGGGCATCCAATGGAGGTGAGTGAGATTCAGTGGGGGGAGCTGAGGGAGCCTGTTGTATCTATGACCAAGCACAGAAGCTGCTAGCCCAAAGGAGCCTGCTCTCATTGGAGACCAGAATTCCCTCAAATTAGGAAGAAGGCAATAGTGGTTTGAGAAACAGACCTGTGCTACCTTCTTCCTATCATATACTTTCCTTGTTTCATCCAATCACAGACTGAAGATGATGGGAAAATTGAGCAAGGGGGAGAAAAAGGATGCATGATTCTTTTTTTCTTGCAACCAGTCTACTCTTAAGCCAGTGGGGGGTAGATGCGAGAATGTGCACACATTTGGGTGTGTCACAAGGACAGGTGAGGAAGGTCTAGGGTGCAACATTTTCACTGTTGATGTAAGAACAGAACACATATACATGGCCCATGAGATCAACACATGGACATATTTATGATTCTGTAAGCGAGTATTAGGTATTATACATGCACTGCACCATACAAAGGCAAATGGTATAAAATTCATGCCAGTAATTTATGCTGTTGACTTTTGTTTTCACTCAGAAAAACACAAAATGATATGTTGCCAATCTGATATATCAAGGGAGCTGGCAGAAGAAAGGCTTGTATATTAGTCCTTTTGTGGCCCCTTGTACCTGCTTTCTGAACAAAGGGCCTGCATTTTCATTTTGCCCTGGACCCTGCAAATTACAGGGCCATTAACACTCCCCCTGCTGTAATGAACTGGCACAGACCATAGCAGGTGCTTCGGGCATTCACTCAGAGCTTCAGTATTAAATATGGGATTTTTGGAAATGATTCATCAATGCCTATTATTCCAGTGCAACTACAAACTTAATCGACTTAGTTTCTGTTCTCTTTTTAGTGTCTTCCCCTGGTTTACCAAATGATTACTCTGATATCAGACCAAATTTCCCTAATGTGAAACAACTCCCTTCAGAAGTTCTCCAGCTAATTTCCAATTTAGCTTATGATGGGGGAATGTCTCTCTGTATGCTGTGAATATAGGTTGCTCTAATGGGTTGATAAATAAAGCCGTTTGGTCTATGGCAAGGCAGCTTAGAGGCAGGTGGGAAATTCAAAGAGAGAGACAGGAAGAAGGTGGGGAGAGATGCAGGTAAGCCGCCCAAGGAGCATCATGTAATGGGATGCAGGTAAAGCCGCAGAACATGTGGCAATACATAGATTAATAGTTATGGGCTCATTTAAGATATAAGAGCTAGCTAGCAAAAAGCTTGAGCCATGGCCATGCAGTTATAATTAATGTAAGTCTCTGTGTGTTTACTTGGGGAACACAAGTGGGAGAGATTTGTCCTGACTGCCAGCAGGCCAGGACACAGGAAATCTTACGACTACAAATGGCACCAAAATGTGGGGCAAGAGTTTCCACCTAAAACCTGAAAAAGCTTTAAAAAAAAAAAAAGATTCTAAAACAGAGCTAAAAATAGCTT